AAGAAGACAAATAATGAGCGGGCAAAACTCCTATGTTTTATTTTTGTATGTATTTCGTTGAATTTCGTATATGATTATGAAATTCTTACCGAGGTCTCTTTAGTTAATCACTTAAATGTAAAAATTGACTCCTTTACTCTATTTTAGAATAATATGTAATAAACGTTCAACTTTGACTAGTCATATAATATACAGTATTTCATGAAATTGTTCATTTCTAATAGGTATATACGATTTTTTCCCGATTAAAATGACCAGGTCTAATATTGATCCTTAATTTTCTCTTAACTTGAACCGAAATTAGACTTTAAACTTGGGCCCAATTTAGTTCATCCAGCCCAACACAGTTGGCCCACATTTTGCTGAAGAAAAGTGGGACCTACATGGCGTTGCAATCAGAGGTAATCCTCGATCTTATCGACCAAAAAAATAAAATAAAATAAAATAACAAATATGTTTCGCCATTTAACTGTTTCCTCGCTCCCTTCGCCTTCAAACACACTTTTCTGTAAGATACACAATGACAACTTTATCGAATTCAATTGTGATATCTAAAACCTCTGCTCTTTGTCTGTCATCCGGTAATCGTTCGAATATCTTTCATTTCGATAAGTTAACATGTATTTTCATAATCGACGATCGATGTGTGTTTTCCACTGTCCCTTCAATGCTTTTTTATTACTTTGGTGCTTTTCCTAAGTACTGATGAGAATTTGAAAATTGTTAAAAAAAAATGTTGAAATAATTGAATTGGGATGTGGGTTTTTACATAATTACTGTTTTGACAAGTATGTATTCTGGTATTGTGAACAACATGAAAGATTACGTCTCTCAATCTAAATTTACTTTCATATTCGACGATCGACGTGTGCTTTTCCAGTATCTTTTCAATGCTTCTTGATTATTTTGATGATTTTTTTGAAGTACTGGATAGGAATTTGGAAATTGTTAAAATGTTGAATAATTGAATCGGGATGTGGGTTGTTGCTTAATTACTGTTTTGACAAGTACACGGAGAATCATGTAAGATTACAGCTCTATTTTTATTTTGTGTCTCTTCTTTCAAATCGCTTATGCAATTTTCTATTTATTTAATGTTCATGGAGTTCATATATTTACTTCCTTATGGCGCCAAAGTACAAAATCTGACATAGAAATCTACATGGAAAATCATATCCATTTTGATAATTGTGTGTATACTGGAAACATAATCATCATATCTTATGTTCTAGAAGATCTAAAGGCCACATTTGACACTAACTAGCTTTTTCTATTGCGGGAGAGGATCGAAATTAATGTACTTAAAGAAGTGGATTAAACATTTAATCCCAGAAGTGTAACATTTTAATTACTTGGAGGCCAACTGGTAACTATTACCAAAATTGTATGGAATAATAAATTAAAGTTATCGTATACCATTAAAATTCTTCTATCCTTCTTCAGGTTTAGTGAGTAGGAAATGGATGGCTTGTCTTGTCAGTGCTGAGAATTTACTAACTTAGGGATATTAATGCTTTCCGAAGAACTCCCATAAGGAAATAATAACGATCTGCAAGATGCCACCCTGCTACCACCATTTTTTCACTAGATGCATTAAGCAAGAGCAGCTTATCCAGCTTGCCTTTTATTTTATGTTTCTGATTCCAGTGCCTGCCTCTGTTGCCAAAATACTAGATATCTTCTATATCTAACTTTTGGGGGGTAACCAAGGTTAAATTGCGAATTCATCAACGTACTTGGCATTTTGGAAGGATGTGTTTTAGCCTCTCTACATTTATGAACTCTATAAGCCAATACACAACTCCAGGAATATTAAATACATTTTCAGTTTAATTCCAGAAATCTAATGCAGTAATCGTGTTTCAGTGAAAATTCCGTCAATTTTTGGGTTCTGAAGGATCTAATCCAGGCTTGGGTTTCAGTCACTTGATATTCCAGCACAATCATTGTGAATTGTCCCTGCCGAGCTTCATCTTGCTTACCAAGGCCCCTTTCTGTTTGTCTAATAGAGGAGCTGGAATGAAAAACTTATGTTTTTTGCTTTTATGTTGATACCTGCAAAATATTGCTATCTGTTGATATGTGCTCACTTAGAAATTCACTGGTAAATATACGTATGGTCACAATTGGCATGTTATGCTTTATTACCTTGGCTCTGAACTCCCATGACTTTGTTTGTTGTACTAGGTTCTTTAAAATCAGTCGACCGCTATGCCACTATTACAGGCCCAAACAACATGTCCTTCAGTTTGAAAGGAACGAGGAAATCATCGGCCCCAAAAAGGACACTCACTCTTCAAGCAAGTTACAGGCATGTGTCACCATCAGCCTGTTTATTTACCGGTTTGTTGTTATAATGTTATCAGTTGACCTTTGTCTTCTGCATTAGCATAAAAGGTTGATAGGATTTCTATTGGTTGCTTAGTAACATTTTGTAAATATTTTAGACTTAAAAATTCAATTTTTCAGAATGTAGACCTGCTGCTAGCTTTCTCATTCGTCATGGACCATAGAATGAAAGCACCAGGATCAATTTGAAAACAGCATCAAATAATCAGAAGAAAGATCAAAATTTTCACTTTTTCGTTTCTAAATATGTGTCAACAGAAGTTTCTAAAGATATCTTATCTTTTATGCTTGTTGTCAGTGATAGGCCTAGCAGTGGAAGCATCTTTGTTGGCGGCTTTGTTTTGGGGGGATTAATTGTTGGCACACTAGGTTGTGTGTATGCACCACAGGTGATTATAATCGAACAATTATAGGTGGCTGCATTTATTTTTGCAAGGGTGCTTAACCTCGCTCTACTATTCATTCTCTTCTTACCCTGTGAATCTTGGACACTTACTGTAATTAGAATAAACTGCACATATCGTCATCCCCAAGGCCCTGCCCTAGCGGCTGCAACTGAGTGGCCACTTTGTTTCAGGGCATCGCCATGGGGACAATTTGCACAGTTTATCCATATAGATATTTCTGTTTGTAATAGTATTAAGATCTTAATATATGTTGATGCATGCTTGCTTACTGCATCTGGGAGAAGGAATCTAACGATTCATAACTAGAAGTCCCTGGTCCTTTCTCTATTGGGACTAAAGTCCTGCCATTCTCCTAGTCATTGCCTCCCTTGGTTTACCTTTCTCTGAGGGGTTAATCTGTATCAAGCACATTATTTCCACTGGAACATCCATGGAATTTATCAACTTATTGAATTAATTTGCAGATATAAGATAAAAGATTGCTGGGTGAAATATCATCATTAATGCTCTTATTTACCTTTCACAGATTAGCAACGCTTTAGCTGGTGCTACTGCTGACAAAAAGGATCTTATGAGGAAATTGCCCAAATTTATCTACGATGAAGAAAAAGCTTTGGAGGTAAGTTATTTTCCCCATTAAAACCTTTTATAATCAGATCACTCTTTCCTCCTGTTCACTGTTCTCTTCTGATGGAAACTTTTGTTCGAATTCAATACTGGTAACCTGAGCAATTTGTCTGCTTCCGTTTCTGTACAAGAAAAATAACATGTTTTGCTCACTGTCTGAGACTTGAGCTGGATGCAATTATTGTAGTTTGAGTTCTTGTAGTCTGCAGAAGAACCACAACATATATAAGGCTTGAAGTTTCCTCAAATTATGCTGTATAAATGCAAACAAGTTTCGAATCCGTTAAAAAGAAAATGTTAAAAGACCACTAAATGAATGAGACCTGAAACTATAACCTTCCAGTTTCTTTGGTAGTGTGTGGCTCATTAAACTTTCTGAACTTAACTTACATATAAGCAAGTTTACTTTTTAAGTAGATAAAAGTTTTAAAATAAATTATTTTTCCTATTAGTCAAAGTTGGAAATAACCTTTTGCTTAGGAGTAAAAAAAAAAAAAGAAAAAGGTATTATATTCAAACATTTTTGGAAATGAAGTTACTTAAAAGTAACTAAATTTTCATAACAATTGCCCAACATGTTCTTTTTGGGATATATTACCTATAATGGCATTGTTTGTTGCATCATTGCTTTAACACATGATGTGGCCTGTTTTCCATATCGTCCATCATTTTGACGCATTTGCATACATCCTATTTACAGAGGCAACGGAAGAAACTAGCTGAGAAGATCGAACAGCTAAACTCAGCCATAGACAACATGTCCAATCAGTTGCGAGCTGACGAACCTTCAAATGGAGCGGCTGTGAACGTGGATGATATGGAAGTTCTCATATAAGACCATTTTGCTGTTCTCTTTGGAACTTGGCTCATCGTCTTAAATAGGCTGTAATTTTGAGGATGCTCATCGTTGCTTTTATAGTCAAGTTGTTGGTTTTTTTATCGGTTGTGGATCTGCATAATGATATTTCAACTTGTTATTTTCGTTTCTTCATTGCCATGAAACATTTGACCATATTGTAATATTGAAGTTCATAGAATGGAAAACATTAATAATGTTTCAAGGTTGTTGATTTATTCAATGTTGGGTTGTTTTCAGTTCATGATTTGATATTCTGTTGATCTGTAAATCCTTTTTCACTACACTCTCTAATGTGTAAAACGGAATCGTTTATGAAGGACCAAGTTGGAGATAGAAAATGAAGAGATAGAAAATGAAGGCCTCTTTCTGAAGGAAAACAATAAATAAAAACATTAACAGAATTCAGAACGACCCTAGTTTCTCGTCGTAATGAAGCTAATGCTACTATTATTTATTTTGCTCTTATGGACCACAGTACCAAGCCACAGACAGGCCAGGCTGACCAGTATCGAGCTTTTCGTAGGCTTCGATGATGCGGGGTGGTCGGGTCCCTTTGACACTACTGGAAAGGGCTTGCATGGAATATAAACCAAAAATTGGTTGAATAATCCGTGCTTCAGATTTTTATGGTGCAGAGAAAAACATGATCTTATCTGATATCAATCTTCTCATGGAATCCTCACCACTCGTTGCTTAAACTCATTTACAACCAGAATTCCTCAACAAATTTAGATTTCTTGAACAGTGAAAAGCCATATATAAAGTAGGAAGCTGTTCTTGTAGTTTGTTTTAGTTGCTGCAGCCATGGCTTCCAACGCAGCTCTGGCTTCTTCAAGAATCCCAAGTAGCACCAGGCTTCCTTCCAAGAACTCCCATTCATTTCCTACTCAATGCTTCTCTAAGGTCATTTTCCTTTACCAATTTGAAACGCATGTTAATGGTGCATTCGACTAGTTGTGTAGAAAGTAATAATACTTGATGGCTATTCAATAAGTGCATATTTGGTCGTAATAGTAAGTCGCCCTCATGCCAGTCTTTTGAGTGTTACAGAGGCATGAGATCACCCTGTACTCTTCTTCGTTATGGAAAAAGCCTGCATCAATAAATTGGATATAGTTCTCAACTTGAGGATGAACTAAACCAATATAAATATTTTTCGCTTTGCTTATTCTCTGATTTTGTTTTAGTTTATTATTACTCTCGTAAGTAGGCACTAGGACTTCTCCGTAACATCATCGACTCAAGTTTTAGTCTATTCAATAGAGAATCCAAGTAGTTTCTGTTCAAGTATACTTAATTTATTTCGTTCTGGTTGTGTAGAAGCTGGAAGTGGCTGAATTCTCTGGTCTTAGGTCCAATGGGAGTGTGACCATTGCCAAGAATACCAGGGAGGCTTCCTTTTTTGATGCAGTGGCTTCCCAGCTCACTCTAAAGGTATTCTTTTTAACCCCGCTCAAAAAATTCATTTAATAGTGACAATTCTGCTTATCTTTCAGCTACTGTATGATAAGTCTACTAGGTTTGACATTAAGGTGGTTATCTGTTGTTAAAAACACAGATTCTTGATGGTATACTTAATTCACTGAATTGGACCGTAATCTGTTGTTTCTGTCTCACATAAGACCACAGGATCAGCCCCTGTCAAGGGACAAACTGTTGCCAAATTGAAGGTTGCAATCAATGGTTTTGGACGCATTGGCCGGAACTTCCTCCGCTGCTGGCATGGACGCAAGGATTCACCACTTGAAGTGATCGTCGTCAATGACAGTGGTGGTGTCAAAAACGTGAGTTCAGCTTGTAAGCCAGAATAGTGGCCTTTTTAGTCCTATAGCATATTAAGAATTAAAAATATAGTATTTGACCTACAAATTGTATTATAACTGCAGGCATCTCACTTGTTGAAGTATGACTCAATGCTTGGCACATTCAAGGCAGTTGTTAAAATAGTTGACAATGAAACCATCAGCGTTGACGGGAAGCCCATAAAGGTTGTGTCTAACAGGGATCCTCTTAAACTTCCTTGGGCTGAGCTCGGCATTGACATTGTAATTGAGGTAGATTTCTCATCCAATCCTCTATTAGACTATATGGAGTCTAATCGTTTTCTAAACTTATTCCCTCGTCCACAGATCAACCTTCCCAATAGGGCCAACTGCGTGCGTGTTGGTCTAATAATCCTATGTTAGCATTTTCGTTAATTAGGCAGACATGGTGCTTAAATTGAAACAAAAATGAAATTTCAGTGACTAATTAGGAACAGACAGATGTTTGATGATGAAAGGAAAACAACGCCACGAGTCAGAACGACCTTAAATTTGATCCCATTCTTGGACAACTACTTACAGTTCACTTGATTGATGCTCAGAATCTATTAGATTTTTTTCCCCTAATTAAGTACTGTCCAGTATTCTGAATTCGCTGATTTGACTTACCAAACATGTCATTGACATTTAGCAATCTACACTGATTAAATCATGTGGATGCAGGGAACGGGTGTTTTCGTGGATGGTCCGGGTGCTGGGAAGCACATCCAAGCAGGAGCCAAGAAGGTTGTTATCACTGCACCGGCAAAAGGAGCTGATATCCCAACTTATGTTGTTGGTGTTAACGAACAGGACTACGATCACGATGTTGCTAACATCATAAGGTCAGTAATTTTTACTGTAATCGACTAACTATCGACAGAAGTGGGTGTATAAATATGCAATTATATACACGACTGGACATTTTTTTTTTTTTTGTGTTTTACTTTATGCAGCAATGCTTCTTGCACCACAAATTGTTTGGCTCCTTTTGTGAAGGTCATGGATGAAGAGTTAGGTAAGACTCGATTACACTTCTTCAACTGCAACACGAAATTAGGCCTTCAGTCATGGCCACAAGCTGTAACCGGATACTGTCAATGACAGATGACAAGGCATAACATATGAGGTGTCATAAAAAGGTTATTATGATGGTTATAGAACCATCATAGAACGACTCTTTTCTATGACGATTATTTTGATAATCATGGAACCTTATACTTTGGGTATAAATTTGTTCTATATTTTCCTTTAAAATGACCTTAAATGTAATGATGTTTAAATCAAACACAAATCGTTATACCTATGTTTCTCAAATGCCATTTTTGAAGAGCAAAGCTAGGAAAGCGCTCTAATTTTTCTAGCACAGGGCTTGACCTCCAATTTCTCGAGTTTCAGTAATTAATCGGGGTTATCCCTTTTTGCAGGCATTGTCAAGGGAACAATGACAACCACTCACTCATACACTGGAGATCAGGTAAGTAATCTTACAATGAAAAACTTGTGAACCTGACAAAACAAGTCTAACATTGTTGATTACCTCAATTAGTTTCATCGCCAGAACAGAAATTCACTGATGTTGAATTTGTCGTCTGCAGAGGCTTCTCGATGCTTCACACAGGGACTTGAGGCGAGCTAGAGCTGCAGCATTGAACATAGTGCCAACTAGCACTGGTGCAGCCAAGGCCGTGTCACTCGTGCTTCCTCAGCTCAAGGGCAAGCTCAATGGCATTGCACTCCGTGTGCCAACACCTAACGTGTCTGTTGTGGACCTCGTGGTGAACATTGAGAAGAAAGGAATCACAGCTGAAGATGTTAATGCAGCTTTCAGGAAGGCAGCTGATGGGCCATTGAAGGGTGTATTGGCCGTATGCGATGTACCTCTCGTCTCGGTCGACTTCCGATGCACCGATGTTTCTGCAACGATAGACTCCTCCTTGACAATGGTTATGGGAGATGACATGGTGAAGGTGGTAGCTTGGTATGATAATGAATGGGGATACAGGTACGCAGGTTAATCTTTTTTTATTACAGATGACGTACATATTATTTATTTAAATTTAGTCTTCCTTACACCCCTCCAAGAGGAGGCCGAATAAATGTGTTGCGGTGAGATACAAAAGGCCAAACCTCTGTTTCCTATGGTACCATGATGAAACACAATTTCTAAGCAATCACTTAAGCTATTAGAGAGGGAAAATAATTATTTACTTAACTTAGCGTTGAACGGATCCATCACGTGAAAGTCAGATTCATGTTTTAAACTCAACAAGATTTAAATATAGGGCCTTTGCTTGTTCTGATACCACAACCACCTTATCTAGAAGTTTTATGTGTTTGACATGGAGCTTCGTTATTCATTTAAATTTAATTTATGACTAACAAATATTTGCAGAATGAATTCTTTTGATTGCTTGCAAAAGTTCTAATATGACACAGACACAAAATGTCTTGATGACGCCGAGTTTAAGTAACTTATGTTGTTGCTTTTTTTATCTTTGCAGCCAAAGAGTCGTCGATTTGGCTCATCTGGTGGCCTACAAGTGGCCTGGCATGGCTGCACAAGGAAGTGGTGACCCGTTGGAGGATTTCTGCAAGACTAATCCAGCTGACGAGGAGTGCAAAGTTTACGAAGCTTAATTTCTTGAGTATTTGAAAAATGTTAGGATTTAAGTACTTGTCCTTGATCTCAAGTTATTGTTTTCCTGTGACAGCTGAAAGGGTATATAGAAATGTGTATTTGAATAAATATTTAGCTGCAAAATTTGAAGCCATTTTTTGTTCGTTACAGAAGTTGGAATTTTACGTTGTGCTTTCTGTAAAATATAATTAAGCCATGAAGCAATCGCTCTCTCTCTCTCATCTTGTCTTAAGAGATCAGCCTTAAGGCATGTAAGATCAAAACTAGGCCTCAAACCTGGGTAGCTCTGGTGCATCGATCGACATAAAAAAAGGATTATACGATATACATTGTGTGGAAGTTGGCCAATGGCCCCGAGTTGAGTTTTATGCAACATATTTGACGTGTCTAGTATTGTCTAATCTCTCTATCACTACATCAAACATGAACATTGAATTTACTTAAACGTAGTCTCTGTTTGACAATCATTATTTTGACAAAGTAAAATTTTGAATAATGATTTTTGGGGAAATGCATGATTAAAAAGTAGAGAAAAATTTTGAGTTTCACATATTATGAGATATACAGGAAAAATTTGACTTAATTTTTACAGATCAATAGTTGGCAAATTTTCATTGATTTTGAACTCAAACATGACATAAATGCACCAACGCAGCACCTGTAGTGGAAGTTGGCCAATGGCCCCGAGTTGAGTTTTATGCAACATATTTGACGTGTCTAGTATTGTCTAATCTCTCTATCACTACATCAAACATGAACATTGAATTTACTTAAACGTAGTCTCTGTTTGACAATCATTATTTTGACAAAGTAAAATTTTGAATAATGATTTTTGGGGAAATGCATGATTAAAAAGTAGAGAAAAATTTTGAGTTTCACATATTATGAGATATACAGGAAAAATTTGACTTAATTTTTACAGATCAATAGTTGGCAAATTTTCATTGATTTTGAACTCAAACATGACATAAATGCACCAACGCAGCACCTGTATGAATTCTATGAGTTATTTCCTGTACGTTGGGAATATCCTTTCATATCACGGGGATGTAGAAATGTTATCGGACTCCGTTATATTGTGTTCACACAATCCAGACTAAAGGACTCGACACTAATAATAATTTCTGCATTTGGTCATATATTGGGCCCACAATTTGCAATCCAGCACAAAAAGGTTAGTCGGGTCTGATATTTCAAATTTTTTTTTTTAAATTGGAGGAACTGCTAGGCCTTTGAAATTCACTCCATATTATCTGACATTGTTGACTTGATTTTGTCACAGCTGTTAGCCTTGAGAACCATTTTTTAAGAAATGGATTTTGTAATATTAATTTTTGTGGAGAATGTGATGGGTAAAAAGTACGAAAATTTTTAAGTTTTACAGATAAAATTATTTTATTAGGGGAATTCGTTCTTTAACATGAGTTTGAGAAAAAATGAATTTTTAGACAATGAGGCTCAAATAGAAATTTATACAAAATCTATGGTGATGTCTAACACTATACAACCTCGTCGCATCTCTGAACTTCCATATACTTACGGGAGTAGATAAACTTTGAGGTTGTGCAGATGATTGATCGAAGATCTTCCTAATCCAATCCATTACACGAAAGGCGAAGACTTGCCTAGCGAACTCAAGGCAGCTCTATCGTAGTCGGCTCAACATAGCTCAAGTCGTAAAGTGGTCGAGCTCGAAACTATTTGGCAGAAACACAATGCTCCCAGCTTTATAGCCTCCAACAATTTGTCAAAGGAATCAAAATCTATAATTATGTTGTGTCTAGCAGTTGCAGTCCAGCTCAAAAGTATAGCAAAAGGGCAGGCTTTATTTTTCAATTTCTTTTACCTCTCTCGTGGAGAGTGAAAATCACAGCAATAAACAAGTCTTGGCAAAAACCAAGTGATTTACTATCCTTTAAACCGTAATGGCTCTGATCAATCTTCACCTCCTTCTCCTACTCGTTCTCCTCCAGTTCGGCCTACAACGAGAAGTTTCCGGCATTGGAATAAACTACGGCACGATCGGGAACAACCTCCCTTCCCCGAAGAGGGTGGCTCAGCTACTCCAATCCACCCTCATTGATAAGGTCAAGATTTATGACAGCAACCCTGAAATCCTTGAAGCCTTTTCTAATACCGGCATTGACCTCATTGTAGCTGTAGAAAACTCGCATGTTGCAAACATAAGCGCCAACCCTTCAGCAGCCGATCAATGGTTCGCCACACGGGTTATGCCCTTCATTCCGGCCACTTCCATCGTCGCCATTGCCGTAGGCAATGAGTACTTAACCTCAGACGACGATAAGTTGGATCATAATGCTTTAGTACAAGCAATGCAGAATTTGCATTCAGCTTTACTTAGTCGTGGATTAAACCGTAAAATTAAGGTCACGACGCCACATAGTATGGCTGTTCTTGCCTCTTCGTTTCCTCCTTCGGCTTCGACTTTCGCCACCATGCTCCTCCCTACGATGACCGCCATTGTCGGGTTCTTAGCAGATACCGGTGCACCATTCATGGTGAATGCATATCCATATTTCGCCTACCGAGACAATCCAACCACGGTTAGTCTAGAATATGCCTTATTAGGCAATGCAACCGCAGTACATGATACTAAGGGAATTATGTACACTAACATGTTAGATGCACAAATCGATGCAGTTCGATCTGCTATCGGTTCACTAGGATTTGGAAACCGATCAATCAAGATTACGGTTTCAGAATCTGGGTGGCCATCAAAGGGCGATGCAGGCGATATCGCAGCAACACCTGACAATGCAAGAACCTACAACAGCAGGCTAATCGAACGCGCACAGTCGAATAAAGGGACCCCCATGAAGCCTAAGGAGATTATAGAGATTTTTGTGTTTGCTTTGTTCAATGAAAACAAGAAACAAGGAGGCACCAGTGAGAAAAACTTTGGGATTTTCAATGGGGATGGTTCTAAAGTTTATAATATAGATTTGAGCTGCCAATTTTGTTCAAACAATGCAGATAATAAACTAGGTTTTGGGGAGAAAGGATCCAGTGTGGCAAGGGGTCCTTCTGTTTGGTGTGTGGCTAAACCACATGCAGATGATAAGGTTGTTCAGTCTGTGATTGATTTTTGCTGTGGACCAGGAGGAGTTGATTGCAGGGAGATCGATGAAAATGGAGATTGCTTTGCACCTGATAAGTTACATGCACATGCATCATATGCCATGAATGCATACCAATGCAGATAATAAACTAGGTTTTGGGGAGAAAGGATCCAGTGTGGCAAGGGGTCCTTCTGTTTGGTGTGTGGCTAAACCACATGCAGATGATAAGGTTGTTCAGTCTGTGATTGATTTTTGCTGTGGACCAGGAGGAGTTGATTGCAGGGAGATCGATGAAAATGGAGATTGCTTTGCACCTGATAAGTTACATGCACATGCATCATATGCCATGAATGCATATTATCAGATGCATGGAAGAAACTACTGGAACTGTGACTTCAAGGGATCTGGCCTTGTTACCTTCAGTGATCCAAGTAGGTTCATAAAATTTTTAACTGTAACTGATAAGTCGAGGTTTTTTTAATCCCGATGGACAAACCATTAATTTACCGCGCGCCTCTAGCTCCAACTTCTACAGTCCTATTTCCACTCCATCTTTATAACCATCTAAGCATGAACAATCACAAAAATCTAAGTAGAGTTACTCAATTTCTTGTAAGCTACCATAAACAAGTCCATCTGAGAATGAACTTGTGTCTTGGTTTCATCAAAAAAATTACTTGACTTGTGCAAAAATTTCATAGATTTGAACTCAGGATATTTATCCATTCTGCTACCGCATTGAACTTTCTTGTGTATTTATTTATTTATTTAAATTCTATCTTTGTTGCTGTAAAAAATTTCTAACCATTTTCTTCCTCTCTTTTCCCCTCTGGGCAGGTTATGGAAAATGCCAATATGCACACCAGTGACAGGCAAGTAGAAAATCAAGAAGAGAGGTGAAACATGAAATTGTGGCAAATGTATTCTCGATGTCCTAATATCAATTAACTCTATTAAGCTATATAAAGAATCGATGTTGGATATGTTTATTTGTCATAGCATTCACTATTTCGCTCATCAGCATCAAACTATTGTAAAAATTTCAAAAATAAAGAATTAATGATGTCAAAAGAAATTTAGCTTTAACTTTTCTGAAGGACTGCAGACAGGGATGAGTACACGCACATGGAAAAAGTTCATCTCAAATTAGACCTTTTTCTTGCACCCTTTTGTTTGTTTCAAAAGTGTGTTCTCTTTATTGTGGCCAGTATTAGCTGTTTCCATTTTCATGGTACTAAAGTCAAAAGGAGTTGTTTAGTAAGAGAGCCCACAAATTTTTAGATTCCAGCAGAAATTATATGTATCGCAACTTTTCAACTCTACAAATAGAATATTTGCAAGCAATCGATATTTCACAGTTAAAGACGTATTACTTTTTGTAGCGACGGCCAAAGACGTGCTAACAATCAAAATATGGTCAAATAAGGAAAAATCTATTTTGATATTTTATTCTTGTACCTATGAATTTCATTAAACCCACAAAAAAATACTTCTAAAGAATCCATTGCTCTTTCAATATCATCATGTTCATTGTTTTCGCATATGTATGTATTTTTAGGATCGTGCTACATGACCACATCGGTTGACATAAGGGTTGACACATCACACATGCATCGGAGCTTGGCATTATTTTATTCGCGCGGGACCCACACCTCGGCTGTGAGAGGTGTGTCAACCTTTGTGTCAAACAATATGATTGAGTAGCATTTTTCGTATTTTTAAGGGGAAAAAAGGGATATTTAAAAGTTGTTTAGTGAAATCAAAATAGAGTGCATTTGAGTTTTCCTAATACCTAAAAGGACATCTAGGGTCTAGAGAAAAGAGATCCAAACGAAACTATCATTCAAATTGATAATTTATTTGAACAAAAGTGTCAAATAAATGAAATTTCTTTGTCTATTAGATGGATGATTTGAACCTCATTGACTATGATAGGTGGTTATATATATAGAGCATGTTTACGGGATGATAACTTTATTTATTAAGCTAGATAAATATACTTCATATTTACAGATTTCATAGGACTCCCGATTTCTACATACTTGTTATCTACATGCTTATCACTACACATCTCGTAAAATTCACAACTTATTAGCACCTAAAAGTACTCCCAAACCCACTTAAAAGTACCAATACTAACATGGATAAATATTTATCACGACATGAAAAATTAATTCAAGGGAACTCAACTCTTGTTCGGCCTCCATTTTCTAAAGCTCAATTTTTTTTCCAAATTCATTTACAATCACATTTTTCAAAAAACCACTTTTTCACAATCTATTCTCAAAAATCTCTACCGAACACGTGCTTAACATCTTGCCCCATCCACCCACCTACTTTACTCGTGATCAATGATCACCTAGGCTGCCTGGCAA